AGCACTTGATGGCGGGTCATGCAGCTGATCCTTTGCCACTCCAGTTTATCATTGTATCTCAATCTTGAAAATGACTCGGTTAATAATTTCGCAACGATGTCATCACTATCACTGACATGAGCCACCATGAACGAACTTATGCTAATCATAAATCTATCTATCATAAATCTATCGATTAGATTTATGATTCGAAAATTATAAAAGTAGGGTAGACATGTGGATATGATCCGGCTGAACAAAACGTGCATTTATCAAACAGGTTTGTTTTCCACAGACATTATTTCCAGCTATTTTCCAAAACCCTATGGAGAAATCCCATTGCTTTTTGTGGAGGGAACCCGAGCGCAGCTTACTTCAGGGTTTTAGGACGCGTCACTGCACCACTATCACACATGCATAAATTTCACAGCGGGCGGAACTTGTCATAAAGTCCGCGAAAATAAAGCCCACCCATTTAGAGGGAAGATATGATTGGTCAACTGTACTGTCATTTGACATTACTCTCTCATTGAGTTACTATAGAGAGGCGAAGTCCCTCCCTTTCTGGTGACCACCATGGGACCTTATTTCGGAAAAATAATGCATTGAAGTCAATGGAGAGAGAAAGATTATCTTTCGATCCCGTTTGAATTGTGCCATGAATTACACATATCATGTTTGTCAATCTTAAAAAATTATTTCCATGTCAAAAAAGTCACAGTTTGTCGTAAAACTGTTGAAATATAAGACCATGAAAAATACGCAACTAGAAAGACTACAAATCCCAGAATCCCGGTCCCGCATGCTGGCTCTTACGGAACGACTAACTCCCCTTGTGTGTATGTACAGCTCTCAACATGCCCAGACTTGGAGTGATTTTCACCTCTTTTAATACTTTTCGCCGCATTCTGAAAGAAAGAAGTGAAATGTACCAACGTGACGGCCGTCTTGGTGTGTGGTGCGAGACCAGAGATGTAGTTCATTGAGAGGTTTCACACAAAAAAAATGTTACTTCACAGTTTTACGACACATTTTTATTTTTTGGACTTGCAAAATTATCTTTTAAATTGACAAACATCATGTGTGTAATTTGTGGCACAATTCAAACGGAATCGAAAGATAATCTTTCTCTCTCCATTGACTTCAATGCATAACTTTTTCGAAATAAGGTCCCATGGAGGTCCCCGGGAAAGGGAGGGACTTCGCCTCTCTATAGCGGGCCCTCTGTGAATTCATAGCTGGACCACCAATCAGCTCCTATCTTCACAGTAACTCACAGAGACGGCCAAAGGAGCTTCTTTCATTTAACTCTTCACATTCCAACAGAAACTGAATAGGCAGATTCGAAGGAATTATTTCTTTGGAAATGTTATTTTAAATACAATTAAATCAAGTTATTTTGGTAAAACTAATGAAAAATATAACTAAAAAAATATTACAACAAATATATTTTTTTTTAATGTTTTTAAATATTATTTTGTAGAATATCTTAGGCCCTCAGAGAGGGCCTAGAGGGCCCTGACGGCTCGCCACTGGTTATACTGAATGCTTGATGTTAGCTTGATTTGGAACGAATTGTACATAACTCAGCATGGGTATACAGGGTATATTAATATTCTATTTCTGTGCTGGAGTACTTTTACCTTTTAATCTTTGAATAGTTTTCTTTAATTATAGTGTAACTTTACTTAAAGGTGGGGTAGGTAATTTTGGAGAAACCGGCTCGAGATCGCTAGAATTTGAAAATACACAGCCGGAAAAAATCTGCCACTTCCTTACAGAGCCCCTCCTCCAACACACACGAACGCGCACATGACCAATGAGGGCACGAGATAATTTTGTGCACAGATGGAAGGCTGACAGGCAGGTAGGCCATCCAATCATTTTAGCCGGGCCGGCTAAAATGATTGGTCGTGCTTTTTACAGTACTACGGCTTCCACAGATGACATTTTTTTATGGATTTTTTGTCAAAGCACTTAAAATATTCATTGCTATCGGGATGTTAAGAGCATTCCATGGAATATAACAAGTGTATCTCGAGCCGGTTTCTCAAACTTACCTACCCTACCTTTAAGCCAATACTCTACAAAGTGTGGGTAACCCATATCTATGCCCGCTCCTTTAAGATTATATGGAAGCACCTTGAAGGGATCTAATCTGTTACTCTAAACAGGCGTATCTGCATGTGTCATCAGGTAACTGCAGGTAAACTTCCTAAACCCTTCATATCTTCAGAGAAGCATCTTTTTTTTAATTCAGGAAAGAATCTAAGGCCATGCACAATTGAAGATTCCTCTTCACTGTGTTTTAGTGAATGAGCCTCTCTCTATTATACTAAATGATGGTTTAATCTCAGCTTCATATTTTGCCCACGGTTTTCATTTTGTTGTTTATTTCACGGGCTATTAAGCCTTTTTATTAACACCAAATTAAATTCTACGTGCGTCTTCTTTTTAGCCCGTCGAGTCTCATCATACTCTCTTTTATTACCCTGTTTGTCCCCTACCTCTCTTCTGGGTCTAATTAATGGATTTCATCACCTCCTCTTTCTTCTGTTCTTTAAAGTGCTGACCAATCCTCTGTATCTCTCTATCTTTTTATATATGTTAATACATTTTGGTTACCGTAAAGCCTCAATCGGATATATCAGATCATCCAGAATAATCTGAGTGTGCTAGTCTGTACGACAACCCACAATGATCTTTGGCGTTTTTGATTTATCAAAACCTTTTTCCAATGTCGCTTAATTTCTTCGTTGCAGTGCATTCATGTTGTCAGTTTGTGCTGCCCACCCCATAAAAGTTCTCTTCAGTGCATTACTAGTAATCCTAAATATGTTGACAGGAATAAAGATTCAATACTGACAATGGCGACCTATTGCTCAACCCTCATGGCTAACATTTAAAAGAGTATTACATTTCATGTGAGTGTTGAGCAGCTCAATGGACAGAGGCAGGAATGACTGCTTATAGCGGTTCAGCTTGCTCTTGGGAACCCTGAATCTTCTACCAGAAGGTAGGAGCTGGAATTCTGGGTGGGGAATGTGGGGGAGATCAGACACGACTCATATCTTATGGTGCTCTCCAACACTGCATGGTAAAACAATAACATGAACTTCTGCTCGACTCCGTAAGCCCGGAGTCTACGCAAAAAATACAACCGCTGTGGAAGTCTAGACCACAGACCTTCAACATGCACCCTCAAGCTGAGTGTACTATCTATATGAACACCAAGGTACTTATAGGAGCGGACCTGAGTTATGGGTTCATTGTGGATAACCACCGGCCTAAGGTCAGCCACTGCCTTCGGGTCCCACACCATCTCCTCAGTCTTCTGGGGGGCTCCCGTACTGACTGTCCGGGGCTCTGAGAGGGCATTGTCGACCCTGACGTGCTGAGTGTGATTGGTTAAAAAAGAAAAATACCATTTCAAGATAAAAGGATTTATACTAATCTTTATCAGATTTGAAACAGCCTTCTTGGCCAGGTCAGCATTGAAAATGAGATTTTATCTCAATGTTTTTATCTGGTTAAATAAAGGATAAATAAAGTAAAAAAATCAGAATCAGAAACAGGTTTATTACCAGGTAGGTTTACACGTATGAGGAATTTGACTTGGTGTCGTGGTGCATAAAAACAAGAATTAAAAACACAGGTAGAGAACTAGAAAAATATTTAAAATAATTAAAAATATATAGTAAAATATAGCAGTATTTACATTGCAATGGAATGAAATTGAGGAATAAAATATGGAATAAAAATCAGCTGTAATACAAAGATGTGAAGCAAGATGCGAGGCTGCAGTGTGTTCAAATGAATGCTCTAAAGATGTTAAAGAAATGTCAATGATCAACAGTCTATGTAGCATTTGTGCTGCACACGATCGTATTTCACGCTTCTCCTGATCTGTTTCCTGTCACACAAGCATTGGAAACACTTGTTAAAATGTTATTTAAACGCTCTGGTTGAATCAAAATACAAAGCATATTTTTTAGGCTACAACGTCATTTAGTTAAAGTTAAAAGTTAAAGCCTTTTATTGTCATTGTACATAAATACAACGAGATTCAGAGTGCAACCCTGTCGCTGCTGGGCCTTCTTAACTGCTGCAGTGGTGTGTGCTGTCCAGCTGAGGCTCTCCGATATTTGTACCCCCAGGAACTTAAAGGTGGAGACCCTCTCCACTCTCTCCATTGAGGTGAAGGGGGGCGGGTTCTGGATGGTGTTTTCTGAAGTCTTAAAGCTCATGAACAAACCGAAGTCGGAAGAACCACTTCCGACAGTAACTCTGGAAATAGGACCATCTGAGAAGCACTTGCTGTCCGTATAAACTCGACTCGCACACTCGTTTAAGACAATGATTCCAACTGACTCATTCATTGGTTGTCCAGCTTCCCATGTTTTTATTAAACAGGCTATGGTGTTGAGTGTCCAGCACCGCAGTAGCAGTAACATGTGCAGTGCCCTAAGCTATAAGTGAGAAAAGTCTGAACTTCATGAGCTCTGGGTCTTTCAGAAGAATGTGTTCCTACATTTGAGCCCATCACTGATTTCAAAGGATTGTTTTGTTTTTAATAACTATTCTTAGAGCCTGTGTCCAAATAGCACAATTTTCTGTCCTCTTCGCTTTCATCAGGAAAATGCTCCAGCTCCACATTATCTTCACTGCTGTTGTATGCTCCTTGGCCTTTTATTATATATTTAAGCTACTATATTCCATGTTGTATGAATGAGCTTCACCACAGTCTGATAGCTGTAGAGCGCTTTTCTGAGAAGTAGAAATAATTTCAACTTGAAGTGCTGAGAAGCAGCAGTGCGCTCAGGTGCAGCGCATGTGCAATGGCATGCATTCTCTTCTCATCGGAAACAGTTAAAAAGATGCTGGTGTCAGAGAAAGGTGCTATGTACACGGGCCAGGTGTTTGGAGTGAACCACATGGCATAGTGTTAGTTGGAGATAGATTTGTATTGATTGCAATGTCAGCTCTCTGTAACCCTCCCTCTTCTTCTTCCTCCTCCGCAGAGCGTTGGTGTGAGCGGTATGGAGACCTGCCGGGGGAGCTGCTGAGCGTGGAGCTGGAGAAGGAGCGCCAGGGGCTGGGTCTCAGTCTGGCAGGAAATAGGGATCGTTCCCGCCTCAGCATCTTTGTGGTGGGACTCCATCCGGGGGGGCCGGCAGCTCGAGACGGACGCATTCGGGTGGGAGACGAGCTGCTGGAGGTGAGAACATCGACATGATGGATCCCCCTGAAACTCCATACAAACGTTCATGTTCTCTTACTTGATCCCCAGACTTCTCCTGTAGCACCACCATAAGGTCCACCTGGGGATGAAGTGAAACATCGTAACTGTTGTTTGGGTTGTATTCAAATATACATACATTCATCTTCTCCTGAAGATGAAATGCCATCATCAGCAACCATCATCAATATGTTATTCTCTACCGTTCCTCCCAAAGCTATTGCACTGTTTAGCATGCTAACCTGCTAAACCTCATCACATTACTCATGCCATCATGTTCCACTTGGTTGCATCATATTACAGCTGTAGATCAGACCAACAGGTGTGGTGTGTGTGTGAGGGGGGTTCCAATGTATCTAGATTAATATTAAACAGAGAAACACTGAGAGCTTCTATCTCTCCCTCTTGCTCACCCTCCTACTCATTACATCAGTGTGACAGGCTCCATGAGAAATAGATGTTCAGATGAGGAAAGCCTGGACAATAACACTCACACACACACACACACACACACACACACACACACACACACTAAAAAACATTCGCAATACCACATACACACTGAAACGCACACTATGACAAGAGAGAGACATTTGCATAGATGAAAGACACGTGTGCCTTTAGTGTGTGTGTGTGTGTGTGTGTGTGTGTGTGTGTGTGTGTGTGTGTGTGAGATATTGATGAACAGAGCTTCTAATAGTATTACAGCCTCACAGCTCAATTACCTTTTAGTGTGTGGGTGTGGGTCATGTGGAAATGGAGCTGAGTCACTGCAGGATGTGTGAATCGGTGTATTAACTTTAATAATTATCATTGTGCAAATCAATAACTACTGATCAGAACCCCTTTCAGCCATGGGATGATATATGTCCCTGTGAAGTGTGTGATGTCTTGTGAAGTATCAATAACAATATATCATCACATGTGTTTTACAGATGGGAGGTTCATTAACAACATATTTCGTTTTTTCTGTCAGATTAACAACCAGGTTCTTTATGGGCGGAGTCACCAGAACGCCTCGGCCATCATTAAGAGTGCCGCCTCCAAGGTGAAAGTCATCCTGCTCAGGTAGGACTGCAAGGCATGCTGGGTAACTCAAACTATTTACAGGAATGTAATGCCCAGATTGCACACTTAGATTTAAGGATTTCCTCTGGTTTACTCAAATCGGAAAAACTCCCACAACGAAACTGCATGCATGACGTCTTTAATTTCTCTTCACACAGTATCAATCAATCAATCAATCAATGTTTATTTATATAGCCCAATATCACAAATGTTACATGTTACATTTGTCTCAGTGGACTTCACAGTTTGTACAGAATATCAGTATGACAATACGACACCCTCTGTCCTTACACCCTCACATCGTACAAGGAAAAACTTCAGAAGAAAACCCACAGTTTAAAGGGGAAAATGGGAGAAACCTCAGGGAGAGCAACAGAGGAGGGATCCCTCTCCCAGGACGGACAGACGTGCAATAGATGCCGTGTGTAAATTGAAAAGATGATACATTTGCAACATAGGTAGTCCAAATGTTTGGAAATGCGTGTGTCTGTAATAAGAAGATGAATCCACGAGGATATCCATCCAGGACTTATGATCCAGGACCACAGCAATAGGCACAGCCACGACTCAAGATCCAGGGCTCGCGATCCAGGACTCAGGACCACAGCAACAGGATTAGCCATGACTCCGGATCCCGGCGTATGTAGAAAGAAAGAAATTTGGGGAAGCTGGGTTATTCGGAACATGAGAGTACACAGGTACAGACAGAGAGAAGGAAGAAGTAAGGTGTCCCCCGACAAACTAAGCCTATAGCAGCAAAACTAGGGGCTGAATCTAATCAGCCCTAACTATAAGCTTTATCAAAAAGGAAGGTCTTAAGCACACTCTTAAAAACGGATAGGGTGTCTGCCGCCCGAACACAAACTGGAAGCTGATTCCACAAAAGTGGAGCTTGATAAGAAAAGGCTCTGGCTCCCATTGTACTTTTAGAGACTCTAGGAACAACCAACAACCCTGCATTCTTGGAACGCAATGCCCTAGTAGGTCAGTAGGGTATAATGAGTTCTTTAAGGTAAGATGGCGCCTGCCCATTAAGGGCTTTGTAGGCGAGAAGAAGAATTTTAAATTCTATCCTGTGTTCTATAGGGAGCCAGTGTAAGGCAGCCAGAACAGGAGTAATGTGGTCCCTTTTCCTAACTCTGGTTAGTACACGAGCTGCAGCATTTTGAATCAGCTGAAGCGACTTAACTGACTTCTTGGTACACCCTGATAATAAAGAGTTACAATAATCCAGCCTTGAAGTAACAAATGCATGGACTAGTTTCTCTGCATCGTTTTGAGGCAAGATATGCCTGATTTTTGCAATGTTACGTAGATGGAAGTAGGCGGTCCTTGAAATTGATTTTATGTGGGCGTTAAAGGATAAATCCTGATCAAATATAACACCTAGATTCCTTACAGTCTCACTGGAGGCCAAATTAATGCCATCCATAGTTAGTATATCTTTAGATAATTTGTTTTGTAGATTCTTTGGTCTGAGTACAATAACTTGGTCGTGTTTAACATCAAAAAGTTTAAGGTCATCCACGTTTTTAAGTCCTTGAGGCAATCTTGAATTTTATTTAGATGATTAATTTCATCAGGCTTGATTGATAAATATAGTTGAGTATCATCCGCATAACAATGAAAATTTACAGAATGATTCCTTATAATATTGCCTAATGGAAGCATATATAATGTGAACAAAATAGGTCCAAGCACTGAGCCCTGTGGCACTCCATGGCTAACTTTGGTTTGCATGGAAGATTCATCGTTGACACATACAAACTGAGAGCGTTCAGATAGATAGGACCTAAACCAGCCTAAAGCAGTTCCCTGTATGCCTACTAAGTGCTCTAGTCTTTGCAATAGGATGTCATGGTCGATAGTGTCAAATGCAGCACTGAGATCGAGCAAGACAAGAATAGAGACAAGTCCTTTGTCTGAGGCTATTAGAAGGTCATTTGTGACTTTAACCAGAGCTGTCTCTGTGCTATGATGTGTTCTAAAGCCAGACTGAAAATCTTCAAATAAATCATTGTTTTTTAAGTAATCACACAACTGTTTTGCGATTGCTTTCTCAAGAATTTTTGAGAGGAACGGAAGATTAGAAATAGGTCTATAGTTGGCTAAAACCTCTGGATCGAGGTTGTGCTTTTTAAGAAGAGGTTTTATTACTGCTACTTTAAATGATTGTGGAACATAGCCTGATAATAAGGACATATTCATAATATTTAATAAAGAAGTGCTAACTAATGGAAAAACTTCCTTTAACAGCTTAGTTGGAATTGGGTCTAAGATACACGTTGATGGTTTAGAAGAGAGAATCATTGAATTTAATTGTTCAAGGTTTATGGCTGAAAAGCATTCTAATTTACTATCTTGTGTAATATTAGAACTTATGTTTCCGGGAGCTGTTGATAACACTATACTGGTCAAAGGCAAGAGGTCATTAATTTTGTTTCTAAGAGTAACAATTTTATCGTTAAAAAAGCACATAAAATCATGACTACTGAGTGCTATGGGAATAGAAGGCTCAATCGAGCTATGGCTCTCTGTCAGCCTGGCTACAGTGCTGAAAAGAAATCTTGCATTATTCTTATTCTCATCTATTAATGAAGAGTAGTAAGCTGCTCTCGCTTTACGCAGTGCTTTCTTATATTCATTGAGAGTAATATGCCAAATTAAACGAGATTCTTCAAGTTTAGTGGAACGCCATATCCTTTCAAGTTGTCTCGACTTTTGCTTTATTTTGCGGGTTTCGGCATTATGCCATGGAGCTAATCTATGTTGTTTTATTTTCTTCTTTTTCAAAGGAGCAACAGAGTCTAATTTTATTCGCAGCGCATCTGTAGCACTATCAACAACATGATCAATTTGGGATGGTGTACATTTTGTATAAGTTTCCTCCCTTACATGCAGACATGCTATCGAGTTAAGTATTGGTGGAATCTCTTCCTTAAAGAGCGTTCCTTACAGTACGCCTCCTTACAGTATCAATACCAATTCGGCTGACTTTTGTATTTGATCCAATCAGTAGATAGGCTATATTTTTTAGAACCTTATCACAACACCTCTTTGGATTCCAAAAAAGAAACTACAAATACGGTGTCGTTTTGCATCACGGTGCACAGCTGATATGATGGGAGTTGTAGTTTTTAAAGATATTTTTGATTTATACTTCCAGTTGTAATATGGATATTTTCTGTAATTCAATGATCATTCAGGACTTTGTAACCATGGTGAAGACAAGATATGAAGATCTGTAGAAAAACATACCCTAATTTTCCTAACCTACACTGTAACATTTTTGGCTGTAAATTTATAGTAAATGACTGGCTACTAGTTGCATGGATTTCACAGTAATTTACTGTAAATATTTCACAGTAATTTACTGTAAATAATTCACAGTAATTTACTGTAGATATTTTACAGTAAATTAGAATAAAACTCCAACTACATACTGTGACTTTACAGTTGCCATGCCCATGGAAGTACTGTGATATAGCAGTACAGAGCTGTGGTATTATGGTACCTTGCTGTCCATAAATTACAGTAATTACCTGTATTTTCACACTTTTACTGTAAAACTAATGCAACACAGTAGCCAGTAATTTACTGTAAATATAAAAATGTAAATAATACTATAATATATTGTACATTTGACTAGTTAACTGGGATTTTACCATACACAATTGAATCTGCTCAATCAACAAAGAAAAACAAAGAAAATACCCATTTTAACTTTTTATTCCTCCATTCAAGTGCAAAGTACATTTCACATGAAACTTTCTACAGACTGTGAGTGTCTTACATTAGTCCTGGACATGTCTACATAGACATCCACTCAAAGTCAAGGAGTTTTCTAAAGAATGTGCTGACATGGTTCAAGGTTCAAGGTTCAAGGTTCTTTATTGTCAATCTGACATAGCTACAGAGTAATTATGCAGTTGAAAATCTTATGTCACAGGCTTCTCCAACAATGCAACATAATAACATAACATAATAACAATAAGAGCAAGAGCAATACAAAAATAATAATAGTTATAAAAATGAAATAAAGTTATGATGTGGAATAGTGCAGTATGAGTCTATGTACAAGTTATTGGAATGATATATATATATTAGGTATTAGATACATACTACTGAGTAGCAGTTGAATGTTTGATGTTGTTTCAACAGTTCAATTGTTTAACAGTCTCACTGCCCGCGGGAAGAAACTGTCTCCGAATCTTCTTGTCCTTGCCCGGATGCTGCGGTAACGTCTGCCAGACGGCAACAGAAAGAACAGTTTGTGGCTGGGGTGATGGGGGTCTTTGATAATCCGTAGTGATTTCTTCCTGAGCCGCTGGGAGTAAAGGTCCTCCATGGATGGCAGCTCCGTCCTGGTGATGTGCTGTGCAGTTTTCACCACCCTCTGTAAAGCCTTACGATCGAGGTCGGTGCAGCTGCCGTACCAGGCCGTCATGCTGCCAGTGAGGATACTCTCTATCGTGCACCTGTAGAAGTTGCAGAGTATCCTGGAATCCATTTTGAACCTCCTCAGCCTGCGGAGGAAGAAGAGCCGCTGTCGAGCTTTCTTGGTGATGGTGGTGGTGTGAAGAGACCATGTCAGGTCCTCAGTGATGTGGACCCCAAGGAACCTGAAGCTTTTGACTCTCTCCACCGTAGTCCCATTGATGGCGATGGGGGCGTGTCCCTCTCCCTGCTGCTTCCTGTAATCCACAATCAGCTCCTTTGTTTTGCTGATGTTGAGATGGAGGTTGTTCTCCTGGCACCAAGATGTCAGGTTTTCGACCTCCTCTCTGTATGCCGTCTCGTCATCGTCTGTGATCTGGCCGATGACGGTCGTGTCATCAGCAAACTTCACGATGGTGTTGGAGCTGTGTGTGGCCACGCAGTCGTGGGTGAACAGGGAGTAGAGGAGAGGGCTGAGCACGCAGCCTTGAGGGGCACCGGTGTTAAGAATCAGGGTGGAGGATGTGATGTTTCCCACCCGCACTGCCTGGGGTCTGCCCGTCAGGA